AGTCGAAATGTGTGTGTGTTCTCTGTGAAGTACGGGGCTTGGTGTTGTCATTCATTCGTCTGCTCAGTCGAGGACGTCAGTCCCATTTTAAGTTCTGAAGTTACAGTGGTAAATGAGCCAGACACAGAATCTAACCTTAGGGGTTATTCCAGATCGAGGTCCACCAAATAAGGCAGTGTGTAGACCTGAGTGGACTTTGGTTTGAATGAGTCGTGTAAAAGGATAAGCAGGGAAGTTGAAATATAGACTGAGAAATAGTATTATGAAATTACTTTTTATTTTGTTAGGTGTGATAATGACATGGTGGTTTAGTTTTAAAGATGAAAAAGATTCTTAATAATTAGAGCTGCCAATTGAAGAAAGGGTAAAATAACATTGCTTACATTGACTTAAAATATTCTCCCCAAACAGAATATGGTGATGTTTCATAGGCAGAATTCCGCTTGGCGAAGCAGGAGAATGATGGGGATTACAAAGATAAAAGGCAAAAAAAAAAAAAATGTAGTTAATAAAAAATAATAAAATATTCTCACAAAACAGAATGAGGACTTGTTATAAATAAGATCAGGAAAATGGTAACATTCTAAACGGGGTGGTGAGGTCACTCCATCTACCTTTTACATACTTGAAATTTTTCATGATTAAATGAAGAAGATAAATGCCAAAGGCCAAAACCTCTTCTGTATGTTGTTACTGAGAATAAAATGCTGCCCCTTCCCAGCTCTTACAAATGCCCCTTGTCTGGCCCTGCTCTCTCTCAGTCTCATCTCTTTTCTCTAGCCTGTCAGGGACCCTTCTTTTTTTTAGAATATGCCAAGCATCATTTTGCTTCAGAAACTGTGTGTTTTTCCCCCCTCTGCTTGGAAGTCTTATCCTCCAGTTATGTCACTAGCTGACCTCCTCATTTCCTTGGGGTCCTTGTTCCATCTTGCTTTTCGCAGAATGGCCTCCCGAACCAATGTGTGTCCAGAGAAACTACCCTCATTACTCTGAGGTGTTCCTTTCATGGTAGCCCCACCCATGACACACTTAGCTGCTTGCTTCTTGTTCCCCTTCTCAGGCGTGTCGGCTGCAGACTGGTAGGTCGCCATCCCTGGGCACTGTGATGCCAGCACACAGCACGCCTGGCTCCACGTTGATTAGAGAAATGTCTCCTTCGCCTTCTCCGTTCTTTCCCCTTCGCCTGCAACCTCATCTTCACCACAAAGATTGGATTGACCAAAACCACTAGGCACAAATTGTGAAACATTTGTTTACTTGTTAGGGGGCACCGAAAGAATTATATTCCAGATTTCTCAGGCTTTAAGCCTTTCTGGTAAGATGCAAAGATTGGTGTTTTATTTGTCTCACAGCTGAAGTAACAGGCAGCTCTCTGCAACTGAAATGCTACCTTTCAAGCAGTTGGCACTCTAATTCCTTTTAAAATATGCACAATGGTTCTCAACTTCTTTTCCAATACATCCCAACATAAAGCTCTTCTAATAAAAATGTTGCATCTGCATTTGCCAAATTGAATATTTAATCTGTCAATATAATCTTAGCATTTGTGACTATAGGAGTCGATACATGCCCTTTGTGAACAGTAAGGTCTGATCTGATGTGTCTGAAAAGTGAAGCTTGAATTTTTTCCCAAACTGACTTTGCTCTTCTGCTTACCTTTCGCTTTAATAATAATTCTTCAAGTGTCCCCCTTTTTTTTTTTTTTAAAGATTTATTTATTTATTTATTTATTCATACAGAGCTGGGGTACAGGCCAGAGGCTCAGGGGCGGTGAGAGGATTCACCAGGAAGAGTGGGGAGCAGAACAGGCAGATCGACGAAGTACACTGCTGAGGGGAGCAGCGGGCGGGTCAGGAGAGGTCTGCCACGCCATGTGGTCACCTCCGAGGCCAGGCGGGATCGAACCATGCGGAAGCGGCTTTAGATTCTCAGTGCTGTGCTTTAACCCACTGCGCCACCAGGGAGGGCCCCAAGTGTCCCCCTTTTAATTGCCAAAGATTTATTTATTTGTGCATACAGATCTGGGGTACAGGCCAGAGGCTCAGGGGCGGCGAGAGGCTTCACCAGAGACAGAGCGGGGAACAGAACAGGCAGATCCACGAAGCACACTGCTGAGGGGAGCAGCGGGCAGGTCAGGAGAGGTCTGCCTCGCCATGTGGTCACCTCCGAGGCAGGCGGAGATCGAACTCATGCGGAAGCGGCTTTAGATTCTCAGTGCTGTGCTTTAACCCACTGCGCCACCAGGGAGGGCCCCAAGTGTCCCCCTTTTAATTGCCATTAAAAAAGCTTTTTTTTGCATCATCTCACTTAGACCTGTTTGTTCGTCGAGACTTTGGTTGTAGGGACAGGAACCGAAATCAAGCTCTGAGGCAGAAGTCGGGATTTCTTATAAAGACACTAAGTTTGTCGAGTCCTAACCTAGCTATGTGAGGCTAGGGGTGCAGTGGGGTCCCTCGGGGGACTCTGGTGCTGTCACGGCCTATTTTGATTTCATTCCTCTCTGCACTATTGTCCGAAGCACAACTCCTGGTAGCTCCCAAGAAGCTGTTGTGTCTGTTCAGCCTCTCTGACACCCTGAACCACTCAAATGAGATCTAGGGATGGCTGTGGTCTGGGTGGGTCAGAAGCTGGGGTCTATCACGCACAGGAACTTGATTGTCCTCAGTACAGTCGGATATGCATGCAGGGAACAGGAAGGGGGAGACAGACTAATTTCTGCTCAAGTTATAGATTAATGTATCATCGGCAGCACACAGCGTTCTGTCCTCTCATGTAAGGTCACAGTGAACAATTACCTCTCAGTGAGCACAGCGCACTCCTTAGCTTTAGGCTTTGCTTCAACAGTGATGTCATACTGATGGCTTATGGAGAAACACTTAGTCTTAGTGAACTTTATTTCATTATTCAGTTACACCACTGAGTAGCCTGGAAAGGGAAGTAGATTAATCAGAGACAGTCTTCATTCAGGGGAGAGAATGATGGTTACAGGGGGGAGAAGCACCAGACCCTTTCACCAGACCCCTCACCAGAACACAGTGCTCGACTCATCTCAGGGTTTGTCTGAGAAATAGGGAAGGTAACAGAAATGGGACGTGGGGCGCTTAGAGAATTAAAGACACTGTGTATACTGGATATGTCCCATAAATTATTAGATCTGTGGGGTGACAGTACCATCTCCTCTGTATTTTACCAGAGATCTTCTAGTGGGCAATAAAACAGCTTCAGGTCTGTTGAACAAAGATGGTACCAGGAAAATAACCCCTATTATTGCATCGTTCTTTTTATTCATGTTAAAATTTAAGAACACCAAAATGTTGTTCACTAAACCTGACCGCTCCCTTCCTCCACACATACAGCTCTAATACAGAGCCTTCTGACCTGTCCTAACCCCAGTTCTTCATGTTTCTTTAAAAGGCAGCTTTCTGTCCAAGAATCCTGGCACAATAGGAACCCTCAGTGTGATTTTAGATCCCCTTGGGGAGAGGGGGAGTCCTCTCCTCCAATTTTGGTAGCCTTAACAGCAACCACATTATAAGTGAAGCCTGATGACCTCTCAGCACTTCCAGTAGTGAAGACATCTGAGTAGTTTTGACCTACACCACCTTCCGTGCTGTAGTTGTTAAAGAATAGCGTCAGAGCAGATAGAACAGAGATCTACCGTCCGAAGATGACCCTCTGAACTTACTAGCCGATACCCTTTTATTTTTTTTTTAACATATCTTTTGTCTGACTACCATTACTTTACATTTTTTTAAAGATTTATGTATTTACGCATACAAGAACTGGGGTACCGGCCAGAGGTGTGGGAAGGAGAGTGTGAGAGGGTTCACCAGGGACAGAGTGGAGAGCAGAAAAGGCAGATCTACTGAAAGACACTGCTGAGGGGAACAGCAGGCCAGAAGGGAGAGGCATCCTGTACCATGTGGGTCAGCTCCCTGGCCGGGGATCGAACTTATGCTGTAGTGGCAGCAGATATCTTCATAGTGCTGTGCTTAACCCCTTGCGCCAGCAGGAAGGGCCCCTACTTTACATTCTGCTCATCTTTTTCATGATAAGAAATTTCTCCCCTCAGGTGTGCTTACCATCTTAATTCTCCCACCACCAAAGCACCCATAATTCTCCCATTAGTCTGTTGTGCTCAATCCCCCTTTTTTTTACCCCCTCTCCATCACCTCCTGGATGCTTAGCTCTATGGACAGATTTCAAGAGTTGGATTTAAATTTTGTCTTTGTCTGAGCCTTTGATTTATATTTATTCCATCTGTAAATGAAACCATTCAATATTTTATCTTTCTCCTGATTTATCTCACTTAGGATAACTCCTTCCAGCTCCATCCATGTTGCCTCAAATGGCATAATTAATCCTTCTTAACAGCTAAGTAATATTCCATTGTGTATGCACACCACCATTCTTGAGCCATTTACTTGTCCTGGGGCATTTAGCCGTAAACAGAGAGTGCTGGCTTCCTTTTGAGTTAGTGTTTTTGTGTTCTCTGGGTGGGTATCACAGTGTGGAATTGCTGGGTCATATGTAAGATGTCTTTCTAGTGTTTTGAGGAATCTCCACACAGCTTTCCATAGGGGCTGGACCCAGTCTACATTATCCTTTTAGATCATTGTTGTTTTACATGTTTAACAAAACTGGGGATGTACTGGCCCGTGGTTAGCCTTTTAATAAGGTCTTTTTCTTGATTAAGTGAAAATGATAAATATAAATTTTAAGATTTATATTTTCTATTTTGTAAATCCAGTAAGTCAATTATTACATACTTAGATAATACTAATACCAGCAGAAAGTGTGTGGTTGAGTACATGCTTAAATTCATAACTAGGCTTAAAAATCTGCACTATTTACATTCTTAAGAAATTTGGTGGTTCCTTCTTACGAGATACTTTATTAGAGAATATAAAGTTGGTCTTGAGAAAGTGTTTTTATCCTGCTGTGTTCAATCATTTTTAGAATCATGACTTTTAAAGCTGTTTTTCTGTTTTTCTTCCCAGATCCAAGTATTTTAGGACATGCTCAAGAGGTGAGCATTTAACTATAGAGGTAAGTAGAGTCATGAATTTGATTAGATTAGAAGTTCCTTCCAGAGGGCACAAGAGCATTTTGTTTTTTTAATTAAGGGGAAAGAATCTCAACCTGAATTTAGTATGAACTGTTTATATTTCAGTCTTGTTGATGCTTTTAAAAAGGGCAAGGATGGGGGTAGTTGAGAAAGGGAGAATAAGGACAAGGTTGCAGAGGATCAGGAAAGTTGAATAGAGTTGTTATTTCTACTGAGGAAGTGATGGTTTTGTATTCCAACCCTCCGCAACTCAGAGGGTATTCTTCTATCATTAAGAGACAGAAAAGGGTTGACCTGCCCCAGAAGAGAGGGGTAGCAACTCAGAACAGGAGGTTGATTGTGAACAACTCTACAGAGCAGAATCACTGCTTTTTCTTTGCATGTAAGACATAATAGAATATAACACTTACTCAGTCTCTGCTAAGTTCTGGCTTTTCCTCCCTATGTTTATGAGTTTTATGACACATATTTCTTCTATAATTCTCTTGTATGTGTAGCAATCACCTTATTTTGCAGCAGTGTAGACAAGTGAAGAAACTGTGCTTAATATACCCTGTAAGTAGCAGACCCTTACTGCTACTCCAAAACTGACTTGAAAGTTTAACACTTGCTCTGCATGGCCTCCTCTATTAGATGAGAAAGCCTGCAGGCCAGAAATTAGTTTTTAAAAGTAGGACAAGCCAATTTTAAAGAGTTTTGAACCATTACACCATCTCTTCAGATTGCTGTATCTTCCAGACCTTTTGAATTATTGTTTTCTTGATCTTAAAACAAGACAATATTGTCAATAAAACACTCTCTTTTCTGTGAAGTGATTATTTGTTGAAGAGTACTTACAATGCATTAGTCGTCATAATAGACTGTAATAATGGCTTTCTTCCACCCATTCGGCATAATGGCATCCCTCATCCCTACATTGTGGTGACTTGCTCACATTCCTCTCCAGAGGGGCGTGGTGTGTGGCAGTTGTGATTATCAGCTGGTGGATTTCAGTACATCTCTGAGCGAATAGATGAACAGATAGAAGCAGTATAAGAGAAATTCTTATTTCTGTATCTTCTAATCCATGTTTCTTAAATATTTTCTGTCATAGAACATTTAGTAATTTGTTCTGAACTTTAGTGAAACAAAATTCTCTCAGTGCAGGTTTAAAACACCCATATGGTATATTGTATTCGGATGGAAGTGCTTGTAAGCTCCTTATTTATGTAGAAAATTGCTATAATTCTCCTTGTTTCTCTATTAAAGTCATAAATAAAAAGGGTCTGTTTGTTTGGTTACCTTGTAGGACTGTTGAATATATCAAGTTAACATAAAAAGACTATGTATCTTCAAGCTATCAATATATATTACTTTTGAAGTGAAACAGTATTTCTGGTGTGCTCGCTGTACCTTAGACAGCCTCCTAACAGTTGCTCTCTGTTCTTTCAGTTTGAGAACCTGGTAGAAAGTGATGAAGTAAGTATTTCCATGTTTGTTTTCATTAGTCATCTCATTAGCTCTGACATTTATTTCTGAAATTTTTCTTTCCATTTAAGATTGTTTTTTGGTTTATGTTTTTACTTTTCATTTGCATTTCATTTACTAATTTGTTTAACACTCAAATAATTCAGAATCTTTAATGTATTATATATAATACTCTGTATATCACTTGTATACTGTATACATCAGGTATATAGATTCAAAAATAGGTCTTTAAAGCATCCCATAAAACTCCAGGAACTTTTTAAAAGGCTGTTTTGCCACTAAGTAGGTAAAATTCACAAACCAAAGTAGATCCCATTCTTTATCCCCAGTTGTGAAACTTTGAAGAGTAGAATTTGTACATGCTCATTTTGCAATCCATTTTTGACTTTAGCCTTTATCTTTTTTAATCAGTTACTGTTTCTGATAATTGTTTCTGTTTAATCTCATCTAAAATTTGGTCAGTTTTGAAATGTATACCATGTACAGAAATGTTAAACTATGGCAAAGGTAACATTTTAGGATCAGTGAAATGCATGTGTATTTTTTACGTGCTGCCATCATTAGAACAACTGTAGTTTGTTCATTTTCAATCTCACAAAAGTAGTTTGAGTATATGCAAATTTTAACCACTGTTGGGCCAACTTCTCACAGTGCTAGCATGAGTTGGACTAGAAGAACACTGAGAAATTTTCACCTGTCGTCTTTTTTGTTTTCTGAATAAAGGGAAACATCAAAAAATATTAATTATTCTTGAGCCCTGCATTTCCCATGTGTTGGACAGATTATTCTGAAAGTATAAATGAGCTTATTGGTGGTTCTGAAAAGAGCTATTGTTAAAGACAATTAGTGAAACATGTTTAACTCAGCACTTCCAGATCAACTTGAGTATCAAGTTTTAAGAATAATGGCATCATTGCATATTTATTGTCATCTAGTAAAATACATTTGAGGAGCTATCTTAACCTTTTGTTTTTCCAGTAAAATTTCTCCCAATTATTTTGATGTTTCATAATAGGACTTAGTTTTTCCCTTTTCAAAGATCAATCAATTTCTCTGTGTTTTTTAAACATGTGTAAACAATCACTTAACGTGTTATTTTTAAGTTCTCTGATAAATGCTAAATGAAGGAGTTCTTTCAGCCTTCAATGTGATTCTTCTCAGCACCAACCTACTTTTTAAAAGAATTGGTGGTCTCTGCATGTTTTCTTAAGGAGCCTTTTAGTTTTGTTGAATTTTTTGTTTGCTTAATTCTTAAGTTTTTGTTTTTGCTAACCAACCAGCACTGCCCTCCCTCTCATGTCATAGCTCGCGTTTGGTTAGTTGAATACATCCCACTTGGTGGGGCTATTTCCTAAATTTGTTTGAGCCATTTCTTGCTGTTCCTTAGTCATATATTTTAACTGTCAGATGTAAATAGCCTACGGATGTAACAGATGCATGAATCTACATCAGTATTGTTTTGAGGGAAAAACACTTGAGGTAATTTTCTGTTCCTGTGAAGGAAGTCTCCTTATTCATGGGAGCTAGCTGGTTAGCTGCTTGCAGAGATGTGAGTGCTGAATTAGCAAGCATTGAAGCTGAGTTAGGTTCCTAAAAGGTGATTAAGTTTTTTGTTTTTCTCAAATGATCAGTATTTGCCCTTGTTTTATGTTCTCTGACACCTTTTTTTTTTTTTAAAGATTTATTTATTCATACAGAACTGGGGTACAGGCCAGAGATGCGGAGGGTGAGAGGATTCACCAGAGACAGAGTGGGGAGCAGAACAGGCAGATCGACGAAGTACACTGCTGAGGGGAGCAGCGGGCGGGTCAGGAGAGGTCTGCCACGCCATGTGGTCTCCTCCGGGGCAGGCGGGAATCGAACTCATGCGGAAGCGGCTTTAGATTCTCAGTGCTGTGCTTGAACCCGCTGCGCCACCAGGGAGGGCCAACACCTTATTTTCATGTTCATTATTGAACCGTATTAGCTTTGACTTCAGGGCCCCCGGCACTGCACTGGATGCAGTTTGTCTGGGATCCCATATCCTCCTTCAGGGCAGGTCCAAGCATGAGAAACAAAAAAAAAGCACAGGGAGTTCTGGGTTTGAGGTTACAAACACAAAGTTGGGCTATTGGTTTACTCTGAAATACAGAATCCACGAGTAGTGAGATTCAGCTGTAAATGATGAGGGTTAGCTATCAGCCTGTCCCCTCAGTTGCATTTGGTATAGTATAAAGATGTTAGAATGAAACAAGAAATGTCCATCCATTGCTTGTCATAAAAAGAAGGAAGCTTGTAAACTAAGTTTTGCCTTTGAGAAGTTCTTAAGTATTTACGCTCTTTGTTTACAACCTTTAGGAATGAAATTTTTTCACTGATAAAAATAGATAAGTAGAAAATATGTTGATTATATAAAAGCTTAATTGGCTTATTTTAAATGGAATTCATGTAGTGAAATTTCTTTAATTGTTTAATTAATTTTTGTACAGGGGGAAAGCCCAGGAAGCAGTCATAGGTAAGCCTTTAAAAACCAGCACTTCTTCAGTGTGAACGCGAAGCTTGCTAAGCATCCAGGCTGCATCTTTAGCTTGCCAGTGAGGCATGTCAGGACCTAAGTTCTTTCATAAGATGGAGGCAAATTACACATACCTGAAATAACCATTTGGAAGTTAAGGTACTTACTTATGAGCACCCGGGTATTTTCCAGTTCAATGTAGGTTACATATTTTTGGTTTTTTAAAAGCCATTCAAATACTGACACATACATTTCAAATTTTTTTAACTTTATCCCCCTTTCCTTTATGTAATTCTAAAACTTGTTTTACTATTCCCAAGCTTTTTACATCTTTCTGTAGTAAGTAGAACATTGATACTTCATTTAAACAGCCTCCTCATATTCTTTTACAATTACATGAACTACTGGAAAAAAGAACCATGTATCTTTAACTCAGAAGAGAATTGTTCCAATTAAGAGAGTGCTTTTATGTACTGTTTATATTTTGTATATATGTTCTTGACCTTTTTTTTTATTTAGCAGATATTTATTAAGCAACTGGGACTAAAAAGCACTGGGGGTAAAAAATTAGACATGAGCTCTGTTTTGGAAGAAAGAATACCCTGATCAGGAATCTAGTTCCTGGAAACAACTATTTCAATATGCGGTGGGAAGAACAATTTAATAACACTTATAAAACTGGTTAGGAAGAAGAAGCCTTTTGCCCAAAATCTGTAAAGAAAATCTGTCCAAATAGACTTTGGTAAGGTGACTACGCCTGAGTTGAGACTCAAAGGGTTGGTTAGTGGTAACTTTCCCAAGGAGACAGTCCAGACAGAAAAAGTTGCACCAACAAAGTGGGAGAATTGACTTGAGAGAGAGGAGGAGAGGCAGGTTTGCACAGTGACAAAGCTGCTGTTTCTTGCAGTTATATGAGTTGTCAGTTCTTAGTGAACTGAATGCTTAAAAATTGTATTTAATGTTGTGCTATACCTCAGAAACTGAAAAGAATAAAAAGGGGCCCCGTAAAGAAGTTAGGGCTAAAGGACAAAAAGTAGGAGACTTTACCATGTGTATGGCTGGTTAAGCCTTGTCATGAAGATCAGCGTGTGCACATGAGGGGAGGGGTGGGACGTTTGGAGCTTGGAGAGAGCAGGGGTCTGAGAACTGAAAAGCCAGACACTAGAAGAGGAATCCAAAGACAGCCAAGTAGCAGTGGGCAAAGTGTCAACCAGGAGAGCTTGGGGAACCAGGGAGGGGAGGAGATAATCTGGCCGAGATAGGGAACAGAGGGGTTGCCAGCACCACCATCTGCAACCAGGCATTAGAGCGTCCAGCTGTCTGTTGTACTTGGCAACACAGAAGCCATCGATTGCCTCTGCTGCAATTACTGAGTGATGGAAGCAGAGGTGGACCGCAGGGAGAGGATGAGTGAAGGGGCAGGTAAGGGCAGATAAGGCAGGGAAAGATTGTGGGTGCATCTGACTTCACTACTTACCGTGTGACTTAGCTCAACATACTCTCCTCATATGTGTAAGCTTTTTTTTTTTTAAGATTTTATTTATTTATTTATGCATACGGCAGCTGGGGGATAGGCCAGATGTGTGGGAGGGAGAGTGAGAGGATTCACCAGAGACAGAGTGGGGAGCAGAACAGGCAGATCAACTGAAATGCACTGCTGAGGGGAGCAGCAGATGAGACAGGAGAGGTCTGCTGCACCATGCGGGTCAGCTCCCCAGCTGGGAATTGAACTGGTGACGCAGTGACTGGCGATAGCTTGATGGTGTTGAGACTTTAACCCCAGCGCCATCTGGGAGGCTCTCTATATCTACCTTCTAGGGGTTTTGTGAAAAGTTTAAAATGAGTTAATGCATGTAAAGCAGAAAGAGTAGATAGAGTCTGAGTCATCGTGTATTAGTATTAGTGTATTAGTATTATGCATTTAATTTTTAGAAGTACTGAAATCGATGGAAAGATAATAACAAGTCAGATGAAGGTTTTTCCAGTTTTCTTTCTTTCCTTCTTCTTTCCATCATTCACATAGAAGAGAAGTAAAAACAGACCAAAAAAGAATAGACTGAAAGTGAAGGAGAGATACAGACTGATGGAGCAGTGCCCCAGAACAATCTATGGAGTGGGCAGACGAATAAGAGTGTAATTGTATCACTTGACCTTAGACAAATATGGGAATGGTGCCTCTTCAGAGGACTGAGAGAAGAATTAAAGGAATAGACACTGAGTGGGAGAAGTAGCAGGAAGTTGAGAAGAGACTGCCCTGCCTTTCTCAGAGTGAGGTGAAACCGTCTTTTGAGGGAAAGATTTTGAATGAGGAACTTCAGAGTATGTGACCCTTGATTCTGAAGTAGGTAGTGGGGGATGTGAGGTGGTGTGGGAATCCCCTGAGTGAAGGGCAGTTGCTGGATGCTGAGGGCCGAACAGATGTAGGGTTTTCTGCAGCATCTCCCAGCAGGGAGAGCTAGTCATGGAAAAATGTGAGATTACAGAGGGAATAACCTGGGTGAAATGGAGCAGTGATAAGAGTGGCAAGTGTCTGTCTGTCAGAAGGTAGTCCCAAAGTCCTGGTGTCCACACTGGCCACCCGAGAAGTGAGGTCAGGCGGTGATCCGGCCAGAGGCTGCTTGATGTGGCAGGATTGGGACTGGGGTGGTCGAGTGGCGGAGCAGGGGAGACAGACTCCTGGGTGTACAGTGCTGATGCTTGTAGCTTCTGGCGGACATTCAGGTCTGGTCACATGTCTGAAGCAGAGCCAGAGTGAAGACCAGTGATGTTCACGTTTCTTAAATGGCGGTTGTGGTGTAAAACAGTCTCTGATAATATGCCACTTATTCAGCTTTATACCAAGAATTAGCCCGTGTGACAGTGTGCTTCCACTGTTAACAACTGACATAGTATCACATTGCATGAATACATTTATGAGTTATATTGCAGCATTTCACTTGTTTGTGTGTGTTTTATTTCAGTTCAAACTTATCAGAAGCCTCTTTTCGTTTTTTTCCCCTCCCTCATTTTCCTCTATAGGCATCTTACTGAGGAAGAAATTATTGACCTGAGAGAGAGACATTATGATTCTATTGCCGAAAAACAGAGACATCTGGATATGAAAATTCAAAAGGAGGTGGATCGTCCTTTATGTCACTTAAATACCTGTTTTCGTAAAGTTGATATGTCAGAGGGGAAAGTTGTCTCCTTATATCTATCATTAATTCTGGTATTAAATAATATATTTTATAGGAATAGGCATTGACCTATATCTAGATATGAACAGATGACAATTATTTAAAAGTAAAAAAGTTAGAACTAATTATAAGTAGTGCTGGTTTGTTTTAACTTAGTACAAATCATGTTGGCCCCCCACCACCACACACACCCCAATAGAAGTAAAGACAATACAATCTTACAGAAACAGCTTTTAATTCTCAATTAGGGATACCAGCAAGACCAATGCATCGTTGTGTTTGAAACCAACTTTAAAAAAATTACTGTTTCAGAAATAAATGGGTCTTTTCAAGACTTTTGTTTGTCTTGCACTTATTTTTTTCTTAGTAATGAGGTAGTACTTCTGACAGTCATATTTTATTTTATTATATGTAGGGAATTGGCCTGTAATTACAATAATCTACAGTAGATTGCCAATGTTAAGTAAGCTAAAGAGAAAAATGTGTTGAAATATGATTTTTAAATTTGCCTTGTGACATGCCATAGATCATCACAAAAACAGTCTATATGCCATCACAAATGGAAGGAACTTAAATTTGAAAGTAATTTTTGAACAGCTTGCAAGTAATAAAATTCAGGAGATGCCTGCTATAATAGACATCAGGCACATGAATTTTGTGGAGCTTATTTCACTTTGGGTGACAGCAGTGTGATGGGCCTTAGTGCTGACGATCTTGGATTCAGGACCAGAACCGCCCAACTAGTCATGCCATGGGCGTGAGAGCCGTTGTTAAGAATGAAGAGTGCTGTGCTCTCCAGAGAAAAAACAGGTGTCCATGTTTGCACACGGTGGGCACTGCTACCTCCTAACTCACCTTCTCAAAAATTCTGTACTATAGTGAGGCCGTTTGAGTCATTTTGTGAGAGAGGAAATTGAAATGAGAAATCATAAAACTTTCAATTGTTAGATACTCTATAGAGATCCATTATTTTTTAAAATAATTTGTTTTTTTATTTGGTAAGTAGAAAACATTTTCTCTTTAGAGCAGTCAGACAGGTTCTGATTTTTGTTAATCCTTATTGTTTTGTTCATGCACAGTTAGCCTTACAAGAAGAGAAGTTAAGACTAGAAGAAGAAGCTTTACACGCTGAACAGCGTGAAGCAGCCAGGGCAGCAAAGCAGCGAAAGCTCCTGGAGGTGAGGGCAAGACCCCAGCAGACACTAGGGCTTCTCTGCTCCTGATTTCCTCTGACAGAACTCTGTTGGGACTTTTCTTCCCCCCAAGAGTTGAGGGCTTCTTGTTTAACCTCAGGTGTATTTATCTATGTATTTAGGCTCTTAACAGCGATTAATTCGGCTTTCAGCGCTAGAAGTAACATCAGATTCGATGCTTGCTGTGACAATGCTGCTTAGCAGGAGCGCTAAGTCTTGTTTATCCCAAAGACAAATTCAATTTTCAAATATCCAGTATCCTTTTGGAAAAATAAATGTATTCTGAGATGGAAGCAGTGCCAAGTTAGCCTTTAAATAGAACTCAACCACAGTTTTTACTGTATTTTTCTGATTTTTTTTTTTTTTAAAAAAAAAAAACCTGTCCTTAAATTGCTAGAAATTTGTCTACTTTGAAGAATCCAGGTAAAACTGGATGGATGACTTTGCCCCATAGAAATACTGTGTCGTTTACATCTTTCTTCTTTTAGCTGTGGGAACTTGGGAGCTTGGATATTGAGAAGTCGTTAGCATCAGAGAAATCAAAGAGTATCTCACTGTGGCATTACTAATACGGCATTATAATGCCAGACGGCTGCCAGTACCAGATGCTTCTGGTGTCATTTCTGTGTTCTGTGTTGTTTGAACCTCACCACAGTTGTAGGAGAGAGGCGCTGTTCCTTTAAGCTCCATTTTATGGTGAGGAAACCATGGGACGGTTATAAGTAACTTCCAACTTGCTTGCAACCTGGCACTTAATCAACGACAGCTCCAGAGTCCAGGGCAGCAGCGCCGAGTCAGTGGCCACACTTCGCCTGCATAAACTCCTGCTGTGGCTCAAGCCAAAGGTGTACAGAGAGCATATTACGTGAAAACCACTGCGCCGTAGAGAAGCCGAGAGATCATGTCTGTCTTGTTGCTGTGTGTTTCCCATGTGACCTATGTCTTCTCTTTCTTTCTCTCCTCTCTCCCTACTTCCCTCCTCCCTGTCTCTTTATTTCTTCTTTCTTGATCTTTCAGCAGATCACTGAAATTGCATGAGGCAGTACCTTTGTTACTTAGTTCTGAGAGTGTTTAAAAATGACCTTGCCTTCTAAAAAACACTTCTACTGAGGGAGCTTTTTAGTGACAGGTTAAGCAGCTTGTTTTACTGTAGCAAATTCTCCTTTTAAAGACTGAAAGCACTTCATATGCAGCTTAGCTTCCGTCTGCTTCTGAGTTTCTCCAGGGCTCTCTTGAGTTTTTCCTTCCCTGACTAACTGGGTGAGGGATCACACGGCCATTGCTGGGGTTGCTGCCCCTGGATGCAGGCAGATGCATACATCCACATCAGCCCCTGTTCGTACTGGCCCTGCGAGTTTGAGCTGAGGGCAGAGTCGCAGCACCTATAACTTACGGTGTCAGGGACACACAGCTGGGCGGGCAGGAGCCACCGCTTTGATAGGTCTCCTGAGCTTGTATTGTGTGGCCACTAACACCCTTAAGTCAGTCAGTCAGGGGCCTGCTAAGTCCTTTGTTCTGTTGCTGCATACTTCAGCCACATTGGAACTTTGTATAGTGTTTTAACAGCCTCTTGCTTGCGTCCCTCACCCTTCTCACTACTAAATGTTTTTTGGTGTAATACGACTATTGAGAACACCAATGCAAAAGTTTGTTTTATGCTTTATTTTTACTATCACCTGGAATCTTCTGGCCTTTGAGGAGTATGCACTGGTAAAACGTGAGACTACTAAATAACAGGAATTAGAAGGGAACAGTGATGAATTTAAGAAAAAAGACTTAAATAGCCTTTTTAGAAACTAGGGGGGGGGAATAACTCTTTGGCATTGCATGAATGTAATTTCAGAACTGTAATCTTAACAACAGAGTGATTTTATATTGCATTATGTTTCCAAAGCAAGAAAGACGGAGAGTGGCGCAGCGACACCGGCCTCCCAGCGGTGGAGACTGCCAGAGGTAAATAGTGAACGTGCTTCTTCCTGTTGTGGTAAAGACAGACGTCATTTCCAGGGAGAATGCAGCTCACCTCTGGATGTGTGTGTATCTATATTGATTTTTATGTGTTACAAAAATTGAGATTTCTCCTCTAGAGCTCTGGCTTGTGTGAATACTGAGAACATCGACTGTTACTGTTGGAAAATGGTTACTTTTTATGGAAGGGACTTTAACTGCATTTTAAAAGGTGATCATGGCTTCTGTGGAGTGTGAAAAAAAAAAGCACACTGAGTCCTGGGGGTCGACTACTTAGGCCTGTTGTTTTCCACGCCCCCCCTCTTTCCTTACAGTAACGTTTTGTGTGGTCAGGTTTTGAGGTACGCAGTTCAGTGTCCCAAGTCCACAAGTTTTTCCTAGCCCTGCAGAGAGATTTGTTCATGTTTCCCATTATTGCAGATTGTAAAGCTGGACTTTGTGGTTAAGCTTTGGAGATTTCCAGAGTCTTACTATTTTTAGTTTACTGCTCATGTTAGGACCATTAAAACCCGTTTCACGTGGTTGTCTCTCATTGTGCAGTGCACTGGGTAGACTTTGGTTGTAGATCCGCCCTCAGACCAGAGGGCCTCACACACTCAATCCCGCATCAACTGTGAATGTATGAAAAATTATTTTGCCTTATTTTTCTTTAACAGTTCAGGAGCAGAAGATGACTTTGAATCTTGTTTGAGAAATATAAAGTCACAGTGTGAAGTCTTTCGAAGTAGTAGTAAGTCTTTCAAATTGTCTTGTGTGCATTTTGTTTGTTTCATGCTGCATGCTGCAGAACACTATAGAGGTTCTGGTCTGTTTCTATAGAACCCCCGCCTTTCCATTTGTGTGGGCCACATGGGCTCATTAGTTAGTCCTTATACAGCATCATCTTTACTTTTTTTAGTGGAAGTTGGAACAAAGACCGACTCACAGGCTCTTCTGTGTGTGCAGGGAACAAGTCAAGCACTTCTTTTCCCAAGTCTACTCTAATCTCATCTTTTCCCTCCCAGAAATAGAAAGGGGGGAGTGGGAGGAAGTAGCATGAAAGTATACTTATTTTACTTACTAAAAAAGATGCTTGGTAAAAATGAGAGGTTTCTTCCTCTTAATTTTTAAAAGTCAAGACATAGTAACAGCTCCTTTAGAAATATAGATGACCTTGTATTTGCTTTGTCACTTTTCTTTTTTTGCTCTTTCCCTTTGTAATTGGCTATTAAAAATATTAGCTAGAGTCCATTGTATATGAAATGTTTATCATTCATTTCAATATGCATGTCTGCTAGGCTTGCTGGCAAAGAAAAAAATCCTTCATACTGCTCGTCATAGAAACTTACCACTGTAGTGGGTTCAGTAACTGTTTCTTGTGGTATCAGGAAGAGTAGTAATATTTGCAGAGAAACAGTTATCCTCCAATAAGTGGTATTGGCAACAGATAAAAGATGAGCACATTTAATTGTATTTTGTGTCTTGTAGGACTTTCATCAGATGCTACCGTTTTGACACCAAATACAGAAAGCAGTTGTGATTTAGTGACCAAGACTAAGTCAACCAGTGGGAATGAAGATAGCACATCCTTAGATCTAGAGTGGGAAGATGAAGAAGGTACTTTCACAATTTTACCTGAGAAATTTAATCTGTGTTAATGTAAAGAAATCTACTTGGTGCATTGCTTTATTTAAACTAAATGCAGGGCCTTAAAAATTCAGTATGAAAACTTCCCTGACTCTTACTATACTAGTGATTATCATTTATGAATCAACTGTTTGGAAAGTTGCTTAGTTTTTTGGGGTTTTGTTTTTTGTTTTTTAAAGATTTATTTATTTATTCATACAGAACTGGGGTACAGGCCAGAGATGTGGAGGGTGAGAGGATTCACCAAAGACAGAGCAGGGAGCAGAACAGGCAGATCGATGAAGTACACTGCTGAGGGGAGCAGCGGGCAGGTCAGGAGAGGTCTGCCGCGCCATGTGGTCACCTCTGGGACAGGCGGGGATCGAACTCATGAGGAAGTGGCCTTAGTCTCTTAGTGCTGTGCTTTAACCCGCTGCGCCACCAGGGAGGGCCTAAAGTTGCTTAGTTTTTAACTGTTTCTTGAGATATTAAAATTGGATGCTAACAGGTCATTTTAAGGTGTCTGTCATCTTCATGCTACTACTCAGTAAGAATAGTTCCTGCCCCCTTGTGGGCATTTGAAAGCTAAAAATTAGTTAACTATGGTTCATTATAAATTAACAGCTTGTTAGGTATTTTTGGTAGCACAAAAGTTGTGACATAGACATGAGTTGGAGTTTTAGTCGGTATGTCTTCCTGACTGTAGTACTTGAGATAAATGACATACTCTGAGTCACATTTATTCATCACACAAAAAGAAATTAAATAAAACTACTTGAAAGGATGATTATTAATAGTAAACTCCAGATCCAAAAGTGCCTGGTATAAAATAGGCAATTAATAAACAGTGACCCAAATGCATGCATGCTGTGAGGGTTAAACATTTTACAACACACCCAGTATACAGTATAGCACATAGCAAGTACTCAACATTGCAGGTAAAATGTAGCCTTTAAAAAAAAAAAAAGTTTTTTATTACAATACCACTGATTTAAATCACAGTGTGTGATTTAGAAGTAGAGATTCACACCTCCTCAGCAGATGTAAGTGACCACACCCATCACTGAAGCACCAGAAATCCTCCGTGACCTCCATGGGGTCCTCCCTCCAGAGCCCCTCACCCCACTGGCCCCTCTGGTAACCTCAGCTCTGTAGTTATACTTCGTTTGTTTTTGGTTGTGCCTCTTAGGTTTGTTTTCTTCCTTTATATTGCACGAGTGAACTCATCCGGTACTTGTCCTCCTTCTGACTTTTAAGTGTGTGTATGGAAAGGCAATTTTACTGATTAAGTTCCAGGTTTTTGTTCTCATTTTAGTTATAGGTAATCCAAAAAGAGAGAACCAATTACAAATAGCAGAGCTTTAAGAAGAAGAAAAAACATTATTCTCAGAATCTTGAAATAGAGTAGACCTCCACTTCGAGCTAAGCTAATAACTTTACCAAAGACTGCATTCATTTACTTAAGTTTTCTTTCTAGGTGAATGCTCCTTTTCCATTACTGTACATACATCACTGTGTAGCTGATCCCAGTCAGATTTTAAATTTATTTTGACAACTTGTTCCGTTTGATCTGAAGCCCTTCAGGCCTCTTCCTTCTGAGTCTGTCAGCCACACTGCATGCTCTCAGGTTTGCAGATGACCTGACTTGCATGACTTGTGAGATCATTATTCAAGATGAGACTAGTATAGGTGGAGGCCAGAACCCACAAGAAAAACCTGCTTGTAGGTTGCTGGAGAGTCCAGATTCCTTTAGACAAAGTGCTTATGCATCAAATAGAAATCCACCACATTGTTTCAGCTTTACTGGGCTGAGTCTATGATTTTTGTCATGAGTGACAGACAACAGTGATACAAATAAATGTTCCTTTACTATTTATTGTAGGATCTGATTCGTTAAGGTCAGAAAACAAAACTGTTGACTCCACTAGGGATATTCTCTCATGGTCTTTTCCAGTCCTACATTTAATTCCCTTACCAGATAGAGTTTGTGCTTGCACCTTCAAATTTCTTTTCTGTCCTCTCTCCCATCTTTCTGCCAAGAAAATCCTATTCTTCCATGATTTTTGAGATTGTCTAATAAGGAATCCCCTGATTTAAAAAAAAAAAAGTGGCACAATATTAACTAAGAATACCATTTAGCAAACATCATCATCCTTAACCCAAAATGCTGCAGTTTTGTTGATGCTGTTTACCTAATAATTTAAATCATGAATGCTTTTAGAGAAGTTGAAATTTTGAATAGATGAGTTAAAATCATCATAATGTGACAGCTGAAAAAGATTGACATTTTTGCTTTACTGACCCAATTTCTTTTGATTCACGGATATAGAATAATTCTAAAAATATCTCTACTCTTTTGGGGTGGAGGCAGAGATCAAACTTTGGATCCAGATTGAGTAGATGCAGATTCTTGCTCTACCTCTTGAGCTTTGTGACCTTGGGCACCTCCTTGTGACCTCCTGCTCTTTACATAGTTGAATTCTATAAGAAGGATTGTTGATAGTGCTGTGAGTTAGTGCACAATTGCTGAGGGGTGACTCACTATGGGCGAAATGCAGACTCTGTTAACTGGAATGTAGTCCGGGGGTGTGGGGAATATGTTGCTATCATTAGTTATTATCTCTGAGAAATGAACTGTTTGGGAAGGCGTTGGCAGACACACTGGTCATCTAAGACTTAACACTGAAGTCCTCCATCCGTTCTGTTTGTTTCTGACATTTCAGAAATTTCATCTCCTGACATGATCGTTGTTCCATCAAAACTTTCTTTGGGTATGTAGTGTGTAGGTACAATCCAGGGCAGACCCCAGAAATTTGTGAGTTACCAACCCCTGAGGTTGGTAACTCACAAATAAAGTCTAAGGTACTATTGTTTAAACTGTGAAGTGTGTCCGTACAGTTTTTAATAGTCACTGAGATTTGTAATAACTCTGCCTCAATTGTAGGAATGAATCGAATGCTTCCAATGAGAGAACGCTCCAAAACAGAGGAAGACATTCTTCGCGCAGCACTTAAGTATAGCAGCAGGAAGGCTGGAAGTCATCCTACGTCAGCTTCTGATGACTCCAATGGACTGGAGTGGGAAAATGATTTTGTTAGTGCTGAAATGGATGATAACGGCAATTCCGAGTATTCTGGATTTGTAAATCCTGTATTAGAACTGGCTGATGCAGATCCACAGAAACGATAGGATAAAATCATGTGACCCAGCTCATCAGTGATGACCAAAAGTTGAAAACCAATTAGAATGTAGAAATGGCTATGCTGAGCCTTTGGGAAAGAGGGAGGTAAAAAACTGTGTTGTGCTTTTCAAAAAGCAATGGGAATGGAGGGTATCTCTGAATGGCTTCAGAATCAAGTGCAATTTCATCATCTGCCTTCTGTTTTCCAGAAACATTTTAATGATCCTGTCATGTTGTCGATTAAATTTACTTTGACTATAGCATTCCTGTTTTATTATTTGTAGAGTTTCCCTTTGTAGACATTTTATTAATTTCACTTCATATACTTTCTTAAGCCTGTTTCAGCAGTTAAATATGAGAATATTAAAGCATTTTTGGTTAATTCTCAGCAGATGTAAAGGGAGCATTGGGAGGGACTACAATATTCAGTTTCAAAATAGTGTTCCCTTTCCAACATTATTTGTGTGGCTTATTTATTTATTACCTGATAGTAAGCATAATTAATTGGAGTGGAGAACTCACAAAATACTGAAGTATCAGTTTCTCTCTAGACATGTTGCATAGCCCAGTACAGTAATGTTGGCCCAGCTTAAACAAAGGGTATGGAATGATAAAATAAGCTCTGAGTTTGGAAACAAAGTTGGTAATCAAAAGTAGTATCTAAGAAAATATATATATACTTAGGTTTTTCACTTCCTTTTTCATGCCACTATAAAGGAATATTGACTTTAATGGCTATATCAAATCTCTAGATGTCTTCTTTAATTCTGTATTTTCAATAAATGAACTTTAAAAGATTACACAGAACATATTCTCTGTGCATGACTATTAAGGAAGGAAAACTTGACAAGCTTTAATACGGGTATTTCAAAGTTAATAAGTCCTTTCTGGTTTGAAAGGATTCATTGATTTTATTAAGCTTTCCTTTGCCTTGTAATACAAGGTGCTTTAATGGGATGAAACTAAGTCTGTCAGTATATATAATTACATTTTGTGATATACAGTTAACCCTTCTTTTCTCTCATTTATGTATCAATTTAAAAAGCCAAGGACATAAGACAGTTCCTAATTGCTTGTCTTGATTTTGCTGAGGATAGAGTATGATTTTGGTAAACAAACCTTTTCAGTTTTTCCTTAGTGGTTTTGTTTTTCTTGCAACAATGACAGTGCATGTTCTCAAAAATATAGGAAGGTCCAGATATAAATAGTAACTTGCTGTAGTTAAAAAAAAAAATCACGTGGCCCTTTCCAATATTTGAACTGCTAGGCAATGACATTTATAGTTTCCTTTTTTATCTCATAGAAATAAAAATATGACACTTCAAATGTGTAAATATATTAGGTCATGCTATTTATTTCTGTCTTAACATACTTTTACCTTGTAGCTGTGTCCCTGGAAATATTTTCAAGGTAATCTATATTCACACTGCCTGTGTTATGCTTTTTAAAGTTTGTATACATCAGATGTATATTTTTGGTTGGCATTGGCTACTATTGTAATTTTTCTTGGCATTTTGTTCATAAAGAATTTTTTGAAGGAATGGTAACTTCTCAAGGATTGTGAATAAATACATTTTTACATTTAAAAACAATGATTTCTTAGTATTTACTCCATAAACATACAACAACGCTGACTGAGAAATTATTTTATTAAATCTACTATGAAGACAAAAGAGTAACAAATCAGTAAAGCAGTAAAACTAAACTTGAAAATGTGATATAAATGTCACCCAACAGTTTGGGTTCAATGACAGTGATACCTAAATTCCTTCATATTTAAACTTTGTAACTTAGCAACTCATCCATCAGTCTCAAAGTCAAGAAACAGCAAGCAGGTAACAGAATCTTTCAAAGTGGTCAAAATGTGACAGGACGGGCACAGAAGAGTGTAAACACTTTACTCCTAAGTCTTTACCACAAACCTGTTTGCACTATATAAGCAAGTCCAGCAAGTTGGGTGATCTAACTTGTAAACCTACATTAGTCAGGAAGCTACAATCCCACAAAAAGAGGATATAATAAAGGACATAGAATTCATTGACAGTTGTGAGAAAGGCTGATGCCCTCAGGTTAGAGGAACATACTAGTTTTCTGTTTCCTGTGCTAACACATTTTTACAGTTGAGTGGTTTACAACAACACAAATTTACTATGAAGTTCTCTAGGTTACAGGTTGAAGGCAGAGCTCATTGAACTCAGTTTCCATGGGGCAGTGTTCCTTTCTGGAGACTTCCCCGTCCAGCTTTAAGATGCACTCCCCCTGCTCCTCCCCCGCCCCCATCCTTGGCGCAGGGACCCTCGATCTTCACAGCCACCAGCAGCTGGTGGAGTCCTCACACAGCTTACCACTGGCATCCTGTTCTGCCTCTTCTACTTCTGAGGACCACTGTGATCACTGGGTCACCCAGATAATCCAAGATAATCTCTACTAGAAGGTCTCCTGATTAGCCACCTTACTTTCCTTCTCCACCTTTCCCCTTTGCCTTACAAGAGCAGTTGGAGGTTCTAGAGATTAGCAGGTGGACATTTTGGGGTGGGCTCTGACCACTGTGGGAGGACGTAGGGGAAAATAGAAACGGACATAGGAAATGAGACAGTCCAGCCATTTTTATAGGCACAAACGCTATATCCTGGAAGTCCTAGAGCAAGGGAGTAAAGGTGTAAATGTTGGTGTCACATACCACAGTCCAGGAGTTAAACCTGGACCGAATGGCCTGAATCAAAAATAAAGGTTTAGCAATCTCTTAATAAGAGGTGCCAGAATTTACAAAAAGGCTGTTACAGAAATTTTTTTTTTTTTCTCAAAAAATGGACGTCTTAATGTAGGAGAAAACTGAATATAACAGGTTACCATTATTATTAAACACTCACTAATTACCTGGTGAGAGTGAGCCAAATGTAAATCTTAAATGAGGGCAACAATTTTGAACATAAAATCTGTCTTACAAGTATTTATGCATCTAAGAACAGGTCCTCAGAAAGCATTTCAAAGCAAATAGAAAAGAATTAGATTTTGACTTTATATCTGGACACTTAAAAATCTGAATTCATGGAATTAAAATTTGTGAGATACATACATAAAAATAGACAATTTTGGTTAAAAAATAAAAACTTTAAGCTCAATACGTGTTTCTTTAAAATAATGGTTTTAGATGCTGGATGTATACAAGGAGAATTATGCTCTTGGAAATAAACATTTCATCATTCTGTAGAACAAAATATCAGAAAAGCAAGGTATTGTCTCAAGAAAGTCTTCCCATATTAAGACCACAAGGATACACATGCTCTACTCCAAAACAGGCCATGCTGCAGCTAGCACTCTGGTACTGCAAGCTTAACACACTGACAGTACGCTGTGATCTTGACCCTGAAAACAAATGGCAGCTGTGAAATGATGTGACCAGATCAGAGATGGTTCCTGATGAAAACAGGACTAAAAAAAGCATAAAAAAAAAAATAACACTATTCCTTCACCTCAGAGGATGTCTTTTGTGCATTAACCCTCGCATGTTTACACAAAATAGTTTTTCATACATCCACGGATGCAACAGGTGACTAAGCTGATGGCTGGTACCACTAAGAGACTTCAAAGTGGTAGCACCAGACCCAGGTCTGACAATATAACCAGTACTAAGAAACTCAATTAGAGGCGTGTCTAGTGTCTGCAGAGAACTTCATCCTTCATTATTCTTAGTCCCCTGAGTTCATAATTCATTCTCATCTATTTCTATAGGAGAAGTATTTTGGGTGGAACAAGATGAATAACTGCCATACTCAGGCACGGGCATCTGTGGTGGCCATTCGTTTTCTTGAGACAGTGACCTTGGCGACAAAATAAACTGAGTCTCAAAAAATTCCAATGATTCCCCATCTTCCTTCTCTATCAAGAACTGGTACTCGCCAAATCTGACCATGCACCTGTACGGCAGGTCCATCTTATTGAGGTAGCCCAGCTCCTTGTTGTCCACGATCAGACTGGTCTTCTTGCTCAGGTTTTTAATTTCAAAAGAGAGAACTGAGCTGTCAAACTTTTTGAAAAGCTGCAGAGAGAACTGAACCCGGGAAACCTGCTTGTCCTGAAAGGTATAATGACAAATGTTGGAATTGCGGCCGAATTTCACCACTTCACTGGAGGGGAGTTTCTCTCGGTTATAAAATCTTATTGATTGGAATATTCCACTCTTCTGATGCCCAGGATGGTAAACTGTCATCTGAAGACAAGTTACAGTCTCTTCTGTGTCAGCGTCTTCGAAATAGGACATGGTGTTGCCTGCCTCTGATCTGCCTGAACAATCAAAGCAACACATGAATTCACCACCAAACTTCAGCACTGATCTCTATCACCTTTTTGTGAGAAGCTTCGTGAGGTGATTTGTTTAGACTAACAGAAAGCAATACATCCATAAACAATATTAAGCAGTAGATACATGAAATCCTAAGATTTATGAGAACTAGTATTTCGCCTTTCCTCGCTGTTTTAATTTTCATTTCTAATTTGACTCTAAGACCTCACCTATTATATGGGCGATAATAACGAGATAGGCTCTCCCTGGTGGCACACGAGTTAAAGCACAGCAAGTGAGAGTTTAATCCCAGCCCGGAGGTGATCTACATGGTGCAGAGACCTCTCTCCTGACCACCCGCTGCTCCTCTCAGCAGTGTACTTCGTCAGTCTGTTCTGCTCCCTACTCTGTCTCTGGTGAATGTTCTCATCACCTCTGGGCCTGCACCCCAGTTCTATAGGTATAAATAAATAAATTGTTGAAAAAAAAAAGAAGTAAACATTGTTATAAAAGGAGCGATAATGTAAATAGATATATAATATAAAATTTTTTAAATGTTAAAGAATTAGAGTAAGCTTTAAAAAAATAATGATGAGGTACTGTTAATAAAGTGATTCATCAGAGGGGGACATAAATCTCAGATCCCTTCTATTTAAAAAGTGACAAGGGTCCAGACAAAATACAATGTCTGTACTTTAAAAAAATCAAGATAAAGAGTCCCTTGGGTTTGAATGCATCAGAGAATATATACCCCCCCCAAAAAACCTGCATTATTAACCATATTAGCAATAAATATATCATGAACTGGGAAACCTGATTAAAGAAGTAATAAGTAAATAAATGCAACACTGAAGTGTTGATCTAAGATCCTCACTAAGATTGTGAATACAGTTTAAAATAGTAAATGCTTTTTAAATAATTATACAATAATTTTTAAAGATTTGTTTTATTTATGCATACAAGAACTGGGGTACAGGCTAGATACATGAGAGGTGAGAGGATCACCAGAGACATAGAGTGGGGGTCAGAACATGTATATCTACTGAAATACACTGCTGAGGGGAGTAGCAGGTGAGATAGGAGAGGTCTGCCATGCCGTTTGGGTCAGTTCCCTGGCCAGGGATGGAACTCATGCCATAGCAGTGATAGTGCTCAGACTTAACTTGTAGGCCACCAGGAAGAGTTATTTTATAATTTTTTAAATATAGATACACATTACACATTAGATACATTAAAAACATCTCTAATACTTAGTTCTAAATAAAGTCTGTACTGTGAGGATTGTTTATTTTTGTCAGTGGGAACGTTCCTGATGACTGAACAAGCAGTCATTAACCACAAAGAGCATAGCCTAACTGCTACCAACCACATCCCTCTCCAGCCCATGGCCCCACGGTGCCCTCCACCTGCACTTCACTGCATGTATCTTGATACTCAGTAGGGATAAAGGAACATAGCAAGGAGAATGTGCGGCTAACTTTTTTGAGAGGCTATTTTGACACAGAACTGCCCCTTAAGAAATAATTTCAAAAGCACCACATGCACACGATTTTAAAATTCACACTGTAAAAAAAGGATGATAAAAGCATCCCTCCATACTCCTGCTTTGCGTCCTCTTGTAGAGTCAACTACTGTAAAAGTTGCTTTTATGCTTGCAGAAAATTTCATACAAGCATAAGTCAGACTGTGTTCACAGACATGCATTTTTACAGAGAAAAATTTTCTTAACTAGGAACAGAATGTATTTAATTCTATATCTTACATGTTTCCATTAATAATACAAATGGGTGATTTTTCCCCTCATATCTACACATTTCAATATACCACATTCTTGAATAGCTGCATGGAATTCCTTTAGTGTGGTGATGAATTAGAGTAACAGATACAGTGATGCTGGGTGCTGCCTGATTCCTCAAATCTGAATTTGGGGATCAATATACTGAAGGGGGTCAAGAGATTTAAGTATTAAACCAAAGGTCTCCCTGTTTTTACAAGGAGTTAAGTCTCAGCAACATCAAGCTATTGGTAGCCACTGCAGCAAGTTCAATCCCCATTCAGGGAGCTGACCCACATTGCACAGCAGACCTCTCCTGTCCCACCCGCTGCTCCCCTCACCAGTGTACTTCATCAGTCTGCCTGTTCTGCTCCCCACTCTGTCTCTGGTGACTCCTCTCATCGCCCCTGCACCTCTGGCCTGTACCGAGTTCTGTATGAATAAGCAAATAAATCTTTCAAAAATAAAAAATAAAAAGGACACTTTCACTCCATGCCAGTGAAATGTGAGTGGAGATGACATAGTAGCTGATTTCTCGGCAGAAGCTTTAAAAGCTACCATGTAGTTTTACCTTTCTACTACTTTCCCTGTGCCATATGGGTGGTCCCCAGAAGACACGGCTTATCCACAAGTCCTATGGATAAGAAATCAAATTTCCCTGCAAGGCTTTTCTTACAGAGCCACAGAACAGCCTGAGCTGGCACCAACATCACCCATTTGTCAGCTTACTGACCACAGTATATTGGAACTGTCATGTGCCAGGCGGGTCATCAGTCCACACAGATTATATCTAATCTTCCAAATGACCCAATGAATTACCACTCCACAGATGAGGGAGCTGAGGCTCAGCATTTAGCTAAACAGCCAGGGTCATAAAGCCAGGGTGAAATGTAGGATTCATAGAAATGCAATTTGCTCCTGTTAGTTACCTGTAAGTTAGTTAACCTGTAAGGAAGTGGCCACAGTGAGGTATGTGCTGTAATCAGGAAGGCAATCCCCTGGCTCTGGTGCTGGGGTGAAAATACTCCTCATGAGGAGAAGCTCTGAGGACCAGGTGACCCCAAGCAGTGATCTTTCATCCTGGTGTCAGTATCTACCTAATACCTCCTGTTAACTCTGGTGAGTTGTTTGGGAAACTCCAAAGTTAAATAAATCATGACCACTGACCTCAAGGACTTAAGAACGAGGTTGATCATTAATTTCTGGGCCTGTAAAGCTGAATCTAATGAATTTAGTGGCCTGAATTTCTTCCTCAGAGTAATAGGTAGAAAAAGAGAAGGTAGAAACTAACCAAAAATGTAAAATGGGCAGAAGGTATGTTTAAAAAAAAAAATCAGGAGTGTGCAGGTGCTCACAGCAGCTTTGTCTAGTCTGACACAAATTAACAACAACAACAAAAAAGCAAAACAGAAAATCAAGGAGCTTAACAGTGGTTACCTCTGGAGAGGGAAACTTGTCCTTCAGGGTTAATAGGTGAATTTTTTTAGCATCCTGTCCTTTTGGAATTTCATTCCATATGCTTAATATCTATTCAAACATTTAACAGATATTTTCTTTAAACAATCACAAACCACCTGATAGTTATGGGATTAAATGGAGCTGGGGATTAGCTGGCATCACTAAAAGAGGCTAAGTGTGATAACATGAGAAATTTGCACAGTACTGTGAGGCTGTCTGTTGAATGACTGGTGATCCATAGTTGAATAAGATTAATGAAAATGAGTACTGCTATAGGAATCTTCAGCACAAGCATACCACAGAAGGCCTGGCCACTGTGTTCCTAAGAGTTAGAGGAGTTAACCTCTTACACGTTCAACAGGAGAAATTATACACTTACCTGGAGGGGAAGGGCCTTCCGCTGGGGGCTACTGTATCTATGCAAGGGAAAGAAGTTTGGATAAGGGTAGAGGGGTTATGTGCCTAATCACCCTCCGCACCCCTGCTCCCCCCACCCCATTTCTCTCTCTCTCTCTCTCTCTCTCTCACACACACACACACACACAGAGCTACCCTCCCTAAGCCCTGCAGAGCCAATCAAGAGACATACTTTTTGCAACTTGCAGAAGCGAATATGACCTTCAACTGCCACCAACAAAATTAGAGATATTTTCTTTACTAAAAGGAGCCAGGTGTCCAAGCAGTTTAACAGAAAGTTGGGACCCCTGGTTGGTCAAGCATATCAATAAGGTTTCCTATGCTTTAGGTTTGTCTTTTAAACCAAGGTCGACTGTAGTAATGGGATTTGTTCTCTGTGGTATGTTAAGGAAAGCATGCCCCTACAATTTATACTTTAACTCTAGTCCCCATTCCCATCCCATCACTATACTTAAAGAAGGAATCTTCCCCTTTTTGCATGTGGGACATTTGCTTATTATTATTAATCACAGGCTCTCTCCCTGACAGCACCAAACTCAGAGATAAGGGAACCTGGAAATGCAGCAAATGACAGTTATCTTCCCAAGCCCCCCTCAAGGGTCATCACCCTGCTGTCGGACTTTGCGGACATTTGTCACCGCCATCATCCAGTGGAATCGATACTCACTAAATCAACAGGCCTTGCAAAAGCAGCGGAAATCCAAAATCAGCTGGAGGAGAACCTGGAGGAAAGTTCGGGGCTTTAACGAGACGGTGTCTTCTTTCTCCCACTGTCCAGCCTCGCTTGCACCAATGGAACCCCACTTCTCCTTGGAAGCTGGTATCGCTGCAGGGGTCAGCGCAGGGTCTGGCTTCCGGAGGATTGGGGAAATTCCTCCTTTAAATGAAATCTGACCTGTCAATCTGGGGAAAGTCCCAGAAAGCAACGGATTAGTATAATTTCCTGAGGAACCATGGATGAAGCAAGAGGAACTCAGTGGGGTACGGGAAGGGGCTTCCCGCGCAGACCAGTGTGCCCTCCTTCTGAAGTGCAACTATTGCGTTAATGATTAAAAAACGAACAAATCTTGCAAAGAAATAACAACGCTAAAGAAACACACACTCCACTTCCAGTATCCCTTCAGGGGGGCGCCTACCCCCCGCCCCCCGCCATGTATAACTATGCCAGGGTTTTATAAAGGGGCGGCCCGCCGCGTGTAATTCCGGAGCGCCAGCTGTACCCGAGCCAGCGGGCGCACGAGGGGGGACGCTCTACACAACACCCTGACCGAGTCCCACACGAACCTTCCCTCTTGGGGAGACCAAGAGCCCCCCTCACCCGGCCGCAGCGAGACGGGTACCTCGGCCCGGCGTCCGCGCACTTCCCAGAGCGGCCTCGTGTCCCGGGCTCCGCGCGGGGCTTGCGGACGCGACTCCGGGTCGGAGGCCGGTCACCGCGCCGTCC